CTCTCTCTCTCTCTCTCTCTCTCTCTCTCTCTCTCTCTCTCTCTCTCTCTCTCTCTCTCTCTCTCTCTCTCTCTCTTACATCTCACTTTCTTATCCCCACCAATCACTTATGAGCGGTTCCTCGTCTGATCATAGACCTTCACTTCTTCCCGCATTTTCTCATTCTCGTGTTTTCGCATATCGACCACAGGCTCACGATTACTGGGTTTGCGATGTACCGTTCAGCCTTCAGCTCAGTTCGACAGAGCATGCGCACACCAGGTGTGCGCCTGGAGACTTTCAGTCCGAATCACTCGCTCCGACGAACGGAGCCTTCAAACCTTGAGATCCGTACGTCCTCCGCTTGCAGCACTCCCCCATGTCTAAGTTCAGATCGCCCATGCTTATCCCTCAATCGGGCCTTCCCCGCACGTGCGCTGCGAACGCCTGGCGCGTTGTTTCCCCTCCTGGGAGTACTCTCCCTTTTCGCTAGTTCCACCTCCCTGATCCGCTGCGCCCACCTGCTAAACAGGCCTTCCGCGCGTTACCTCGGAGCGACAATGTAGGTTGGGTACACCAAGCTCGTAGTCCCCTTGCCCCCCGTCCGACTGCCTCTTTCTGTCCAACTTCTCCCAGCCACCCCGCGCGCGAGTCAACAGGTGAACTGTGTACACCATGCGCGCCAGAGCCGTCACACTGCTAAAAAATGCCCCCTTGCCTCCCGCGGTCCTCCGCTATATCCAGTTTGAAATGCGGGTCCAGTGCTAAGGAACTCGGCCCCTGCATCCAGTTCACCTCTTGGCCATGGGCCCTTAGCGGATCAGCGACACCTGCAAAACTAGGCCCTTAGGCCCGGAGCAGTGACGGTACTGGAGCAGGGGTACCCATGTAAACCCACCGGTACTACCGGTCACCGCGCGGTACTTTCGAAATCGCTATGTGGTCCTTCAGACCCAGCAGTATCAGGCCCACAGAACGTCGTAATCTCCAGGTAGCAGAATTGTACCTTGAGCCAAGAACAAACCGAATGCAGTACCACAGGATTGAAATACAGCCCGACAGCGAACTAACCCTGAACCTGCATATATCCAAAGTTAACACTTTTATCTGCCGCTGTTCACACTGTCGATCAAGAGCCCCAACCCGCAGTTGACGGTACCACACAACACCATAGAACCGGAGCAATTGTCGAACCAACATGCGCAAGTATCACAGGCCAGTACACACACCAAAA